GAGGCCCCAGAACCAACACAACCAATGGCCAGCTTCAGACAGCATCACCATAGGATACAATTAGTTTCACAAGTGGCATTTCCTAAAGGAGATGTTGACAGGCACCAAAACCTGCTGAGCAAATTGCTCTTTGTGTAATCAGAACCTGCACAGCAGCTTGCACACTGTGTTTGTGGTTGAGCCTCACAGTCGGCCAACCTGAGGGTCAATCCCACATGTGAATGAGTCCATAGCAATCAAGACTCAGTTACAATAGGGAGGCCTACATAATCCACACAAGAGCACCCAGCTCAGGTGATCAGGGAGAATGTGTCACTGGATCGCACAGGATACCTACTACATAAGGTCAACCTACCCAACCTATCAAGACTGGGAATTATAGCAGATCTACCAAATACATAGAAACAAACACACAGAGGCAGCCAAAATGGGGAGACAAAGAAATAGGGCTCAAATAAAAGAACAAGAGAATTCTCCAGAAGAAGAGTTAAATGAAAAGGATGCAAGCAATTTATCAGATTTAGAGATCAAAGTAATGATTATAAGGATGCTGAACAGCATGAAAAAGGACATAGAAACCACATAAAAGGACCAGTCAGAAATGAAGAATGCAATATGTAAAATAAAAAATACATGGGAAGGAATAAAGAGTAGGTTGGATGAAGCAGAAGATCAAGTAAGTGATTTGGAAGACAAGATAGCAAAAACAGGATAGCTTAAGGGACCTTTGGGAAAATACGAAGTGTAACAACATCCACATCATAGGGGCATCAGAAGGAGAAGAGAGTAAGCAAGGGATCAAGAATCTATTTGAAGAAATAGTGACCAAAAATTTCTCTAACCTAGTGAAGGAAAAAGACACACAAGTCCAGGAAGCAAAGAAAGTCCCAAACAAGATGCACCCAAAAAGGCTCACACCCAGATATATAACAATTAAAATGGCAAAGGTTAAAGACAAAGAAAGAGTCTTCTCTTTTTTTAAAGAATTTTAAAATTGATTTTTAGAGAGAGAGGAAGGAATAGGGAGCGAGAGAAAAACATCAATGTGAGAGTAAGACATCAATCGGCTGTCTCCTGTATGTCCCCATTCCCCCGCTGGAGATAGAGCTTGCAATCTGGGCATGTGCCCTGACCAGGAATTGAACCAGCAACCTTTCAATGCACATTACAAGGCCCAACCAAATGAACCACACTGGCCAAGGCACAAAGAGAGATCTTAAAAGCCACAAGAGAAAGGCAGTTATTTATACGGCAGCTCCCATTAGACTGATTTCTCAACAGAAACATTTCAGGCCAGAAAGGATTGGCATGAAATATTCAAAGTAATGAAAAGCAAGGACCTACAGCTTAGGTTATATTACCCAGCAAGACCATCATTTAAAAATGAAGGATAAATAAAGAGCTTCCCAAACAAGAAAGAACTAAAGGGGTTTGTTACTAAAGAATCAGTACTACAATAAATTTTAAAAAGCTTGCTTTAAGAAGAAAAGAAGAAAAAGGGAAAAAAATCATAGAGGAACATAGTTGAAAGAATAAAGTGGCAATAAATACATACCTATCAAGAATCACTTTAAATGTAAATGGCTTAAATGCTACAATCAAAAGAGATAAGGTAGCTTAACGGATAAGAAAACAAAACCCATATACATGCTGTCTTCAAGAAACCTACCTCAAAATGAAAGATAAACACAGACTACAAGTAAAGGGATGGAAAAAGATATTTCATGAAAATAAAAAGGAAAAAAATGTAGAAGAGCAATACTTATATCTGACAAAATAGACTTTATTATTTTTTTAATTTTTATTTATTTTTTATCCTCACCCGAGGACATTTTTCGATATTTTGTTCAGACAGAGTGGGAGGGAGAAAGACAGAGAGAAACATCGACGTGAAAGGGACACATTGAGTGGTTGCCACCCACACGACCCAACCAGGGCCAGGGACAAACTGCAACCGAGGTACATGCCCTTAGCGGGAACCGAACCTGGGTCTCTCCAGACCACAGGCCGACGCTCTCACCGCGGAGCCAAACTGGCCAGGGCTACTTTTCATCTTTTTAAGTAGGTGAGCCAATAAAGTGCTTTCAAGGTTTAAAAAAAAAAAAAAAAAAAAAAAGAGGATGAACTATGGATATACCCAACAACTTGGATGGATCTCAAGGGCATTTATGTCAAGTAAAAAAAGCCTGTCTCAAAGTCACATCCTGTATGATTCCATTTATATGACATTCTCAAAATGACAAAATTACATAAATGGGGAACAGATTTGTGACTGGTAGACATTAGGGATACTTGGGTGGATATGACTTACAGTCAAAGGGAGATATTTGTGATTTATCTTGAATGCAATGTTGTTTACTTGAATCTACACATGATAAAATGGCATAGAACTATACAAACATCTTTTATCAAAGTCAATTTCCTGTTTTCACTGTTGTAAGATGTAGCCATTGGGGGAAATTGAGTGAAGACTTGTCTACTATCTGTGCAACTTCCTGTGATATTTCAAAATAATTTTTTTCCAAAATATCATTTGGAATTTGAAATTTAAAAATATCATAGCAACAGAATTATTTTTTTCCTTTCATACCGAATGTATTAGGGTGATATTAGTTAATAAAATTATATAGGTTTCAGGTGTACAATTCAATAATACATCATCTATATATGGTATTGTGTACTCACCACCCATAAAGTCTCTTTCCATCACCATTTATCCTCCCATTACTCTCTTCTACCTCCCCTCATCCCCCTTTCCCTCTGATAATCACCATACTATTGTCTATGTCTAAATGGTTTGTTTTTTGCTTATTTCCTTCACGGTTTTCACCCAGCCCCACAACACACCGCCCCTCTGACAGCTGTCAGTCTGTTCTCTATCTATGAGTCTGTTTCTATTTTGTTCGTTAGTTTATTTTGTTCATTAGATTCCACATATGAGTGTTATCATATGGTGTTTGTCTTTCTCTGACCGGCTTATTTCACTTAGCATAATATTCTCCAGGTCTATCCAGCAACAGCATTATTTTAAATATAAAATACTTTGGAATAAATTTTACAAAATACTGTCATTAGAAACTAAATCATTGCTGAGAGAAATTAAAGAACTAAGTAGAGATATACTGTGTTCATGGATTGGAAGATATACTATTGTTATGATATCAATTCTCCCCAAACTGTCCTACAGGTTCATTACAATACTGATCAAAATATCTGAATAGTCAGGTAACATGTGAAAGGTTGCTCCACCTTACTTATAAATAGGAAAATGTAAATAAATGCATTATCAATGATGAATACTATTTTTTATCATCATATTGGCAAAATTTTTTTTTTTTTTTTATCCTCACCAGAGGACATTTTTCCATTTTTTGTTCAGGTAGAGTGGGAGGGAGAGAGAGGAACAGAGAGAGAGAGAGAGAAACATCGACGTGAAGGGACACATCGAGTGGCTGCCACCCGCACAACCGACCAGGGCCGGGGACAAACTGCAACCGAGGTACGCGCCCTTAGCGGGAACCGAACCCGGGTCTCTCTGGACCGCAGAAGACGCTCTAACCACTGAGCAAAACCGGCCAGGGCTTTATTGGAAAAAATTTTAAAGTCTGAAATACTAAATGGGGACCACCAAATGGGGGAAAGCTGTATTCTCATATACTGCTGGTAGAAATACAAACGGACACATACACAGGGAAACCAAAACGGTAGCACCTACTCTGCTAAAATCACACATACTCTATTACTCAGCAACTAAAAAAGAAATTATACACATGAACATGGAAACATTTACAGGAATGTTGTCTAAAGAGTGTTTGTAAAGTGAAAACTGGAAACAAATATTCAACAATAAGAAATAATCTAATAAATTAGTATATTAATTCACATAAAGGAAGAGTATGCAGCAATTACATTGAATAAGCTAGACCCAAGTATAGTTGTATAGGTGGACTCAAAGTGCAAAAATTGAGTTTAAAAAGCAAGATGTAGAAACACATGTTGCACAATATATGCTATAGACTGAATTATGTTCCCCAAATTTACATATTAGAGTCCTAACTTCCAATGGGACTGTCTCTGGAGATAGGGTCTGTAGGAGATCATTAAAGTTAAATGAGATCATAAGGGTAGAGCCCTAATCCAAAGGGATTGTGGCCTTATAAGCAGAGGAAAAGAGAGAGAGAGAAGTGAGGATACAGGGAGGAGGTGGAAACCTATAAAGCAGGAAGAGAGCGCTCATCAAAAATGGAATCAGCTGGCATCTTGATCTGGGACTTTTAGCCTCAAGAACTGTGAGAAAATAAATTTCTGATATTTCTGGTTTAAGCCAATCATTCTGTGGAATTTTCTTCTGGTAGCCTTCGCAGACCAATACAATATGGTACCATTTATGTAAGTTAAAATATGTACAAAATAATCCTCTGTGTTGTTTATGAATTCATTTATGTTTGTAAAACAGTATCTTTAAAAAGAAATGCAAGAACATATCCCAAAATTAATGGTTGCTGTTGGAACGGGGAGGGTAATATTGTGTACTTCCCTCAGTACATAATATCTGTTCATTCCTTCATTTAGTAAACAATTATTAATAATTGATCATGCCCTAGACATTGGTGTAAGTGCAGATGAATAGACATTGGTGTAAGCCAGATACTATCCTTGAGGATCTCAGTCCAGTGAGGACAACAAATGTAAAAACATATTCATAAGACAATATGGAGTGTTCTCCAAGAGAGATCCCTGCACGTGAACAGTGGATGTGAGTTGTGCCAGGAGCCCACGAGAGTGTCAAGGAAGCCTTCACACAGAAGAGATGACATTTGAGATGAATTTTAAGGAATTCAAAACGAAGTCTTATACCTCCAACTGAAGGCTTAAAAGCCACTAAAATTTGTATTCTGTACGTTTACTATATTTTTCTCTGGCCCAAATTTCTCTATAAATTCACACACATTACATACCCTTTATAAGTCTGATTAAACCCAAAATGAGTCTTGTCTCACCTTTACCAATTTTTCATCTTCTGGGACTGTCAATTTCTTTTTCTGCTTATTATATTCTTTTCTTCTTTCTAAAGCACTCATAATTTTTTCATCAGTTAAGTTCTTCCTAAACTCACAAAACTGAGGCCAAAATTTAAACAGAACTCCAAAAATTGTCATCTGTATAAAAAACAATGTCTCAGATTACAATTTTATACAAATGTACCATTTTAAAGTCTAATTTACCATAATAATGGATTAACTATTCTATCTTTAATATACAGCATGTTTCCTCCAACTTACTGTCTCCAGACATCTTGGTATAGTTTAGCTCAGCACATGCTTATCATCAATGTTTTTTACTACCAATGAGAAGTCTTTCTTTAAAACACACACACACACACACACACACACACACATTCTTAAATACACTTAAAAGTCACTTTATTCTTTATGTTTCCCTAACCAATTGATTGTATTAATAAAGAATCCATTAGGTCTTTTTAAATAAGAAATTTATGTTTTCTTTTAAAACATATACTAGCTGATCTGCCACACACTCCGCTGTTTTATGCAAGTATTCCAAATATTCAGTCCATCAAGGGGAACTCCTCTCCCCCCTACCCTTTTCTTTCTTTTAGAGAAAGGAAATACCATTTACCTCTGGAAAAGCTCTTAAACAAAGCTGCAGATCTAAGAATAAATCTTGAGTAACTTTTAAATGATACAATCTCTCTTTTATGTAAGAGCAAGAAAAGTAACATTTAAAAAGCAGAGTGGTATCCTGGACAAATGCTTTCTATGAGGACACTCTACAGTAAGTGATTAATTGTGATATTTATAGAGATAAGAATTGTTGCTCAAACTCCCATGCCAAGTCTTTCCATTAGTTCCAGAGGCATATATTACTTCCAAGAAGGTAGGACTTGCCACATCAGATCAAGTCCAACATTTTGTTGCTAGGAATGGCCTTTCCCTAATGCCCTGGAGAAAAATGAACCATCCCATTAGGCTCTAAGCCAAGTCTTCTGAGGAAAAGAAGAATTTTTAAAAGTAAATGCTGCAGTGATCAGCAGAGTCCTGAATTAGTATGCTTCATTACTCCTTTTTCTGTACATGGATATTATTAGTAATTCTAAAATTATTTACTCCTTTTAAAAGACAACTTTGTCAGTGAATTCTGGTAGTCTCGGGATTGTGAACACAAAAGCTAGACATGCTTTATTTGATAAAATATAGGCCTTTACATTTTTTTTTTTTTTCATTTATTTGCCATGCATTAATTCAGTAATCCCCTACTCCACTGTTCAGGGATCATGACAGTTTTTATGTGAACTTCTTAAACTCAACTATCCCTCCTTCTCTATTTACCAGCTGTTAACCCTACTTTTTAGTTCTCTCCAAAACCTGTCATTCCCAACTCTCAAATATATTTATTTCCAACTAAAAGGCCTTCCAGTAAAAGTCACCTAACCAACACAGAATTTTTCAAAGGCAGATAAAAAACTGTTCGAGTTCTAAAAGTTGCAATTAAGATTTTAGGTTAATAACTTACGTGTTATTCATGAAAATTACCCTGTACCTCCAGAACCTTAAAAGATAACCAAACTGGCCCTGGCCAGTTTTGCTCAGTGGTTAGTGCATCGGCCTGCAGACCAAAGGGTCTTGGGTTTGATTCCAGTCAAGGACACATACCTGGGTAGGGGTCATGCGTGAGGCAACAAATTGATGTGTCTCTCTCACATCAGTGTTTCTCTTTCTCATACCCTCCTTCTCTCCTTCCACTCTATCTGGGAATTAATGGAAAAATATCCTCGGGTGAAGATTAACAAACAAAAAAAGATAACCAAACTATAGGTAAGAAAATGTTTTGTTTTGTTTGCTTGTTTGTTAACCCTCACTCGAGGATATTTTTCCATTGATTTTTTTTTTTTTTAGATAGAGTGGAAGTGAAGGAGGGAGAGAGAGAAATATCGGTGTGTGAGAGACTCATTAATTGGTTGCCTCCTGCATGACCCCAACCAGGGCTGGGGACTGAACCTGCAACACAAGTATGTACCCTTGACCGGGAATCTAACCCTTGACCTTTCATTCCTCAGGCCAACGCTCTAACCATTGAGTCAAACCAGCCAGGGCAAGAAACTGTTTTAATAAATATAGAACTATTTAGCTCACTGCCAGCAGATGGACAATGGCTTTAGTATGAGTGAAAAGGTCCAGGGATGAGAACTTTGGCTGAGTGATGAAGGATGCAGGTGGCGGACAGACTGAGACTACACTGATAACAATAGTGAAACAGGCAACAGTTTTTAATTTACTACTTAGCCCTTCACTCAACATTGCTCTCATCTCCGACTGGGTCTTACTCCTTTCTGTTGTGCGAGGTCTCCTCTCGCAGCATTCATTCACATGTTCAAAAATGTCGCTGAGTGTCTCTTCTGTGCCAGGTATTCAGGCCACAAAGGAAAGTGAGAAACAGGCCCTGCCCTCAAAGACCTTATGGTCTAATGGGAAAGTCAGGCATCAGGATAGTCATTTTCAATTTTGTGTAAAGAGTGTTCTGACAGGGACAAAGACACGATATTATATGAAAAAAAAAAATACAAGAAAGAAAGACAGAGAAGATACTACAAAAAGCTCAGGAGGGAAGAGAGTAAGGCCACTTTATGGAACCATAACTATTTCAGTAGACTGGGAGAGGTGGTTAGAGACATGTAGGAAGGAGCATGGTCTCCTGAGGACCACAGGGAGTAATTGTAATCGAAAGCAGAGAAGTGACATGATCAGGTACACATTTTGAAAAAGATGGCTCTGTCTGCAAGTTAAATGGTTTTGCGAGCCTAGAGGCAGGGGATTTTGGTAATCATTATGAGACGGTGCAGATGCGGACTGAGGTAGTGGCATGAAGTTGGAGAGAGGTGGATAGAATGGCAGGTAATGAGGAGACAGAGGGAGAAGTTTTAGGGACTGGGGATCTGAGGGTAAGGGAATACAGGAGGGAAGACGTGAAGATGGCAACCAGACTTCTGGTTTGTCATTCTCTGAGCTTCCTTGGGAAACACAAGAGGAATAACAGATTTGGGAAGACCCTTAAATAAATAGCCTCTTACTTTTCTGATGCTCCAAAGTCCATATTTAAGATATGGGCCTAGGACTCCATTTTAGGAAATCAGGTAGAAGGCAGAAACTAGAGGACGTCAATACATTCACGACTGCAACCCCTGGCCAGTGTGGTGAACCAGCAGGGTGAGCAGCTCCAGACGTTCACCGTCAGACTCCAGGTCTTTGATCTAGATGGGCAAGCCCTGGCCTGGTTATCAGCAGACCTAGACTAGGCTAAGTGATCTCTCAGATCTTTTCATTAACAGATGCTACAATTCTGGCACTGTGTTTTCCCTCCTTCTCTCTAGCACATCCTCAATCATTCCTCTATATTTTCGCCTATTTTAATGCATAATTTGGATTGTGAGTCCACTTTCAGTTCCTCAGAGGACTTAGAACACAGCTGGCTCACAAATGAACGTTAAGGAGTAATGGCCTTTTTCCATGCTCAAGGGCAATCATACCCTAAATCTCTGTTTCATATCACTTAAGTCATGACATGGCCTTCCCTATTACCTCTATTATAATTTATTTTTCTTAATCATTGTTCAGGAACAACATCAGTAAAAGGCTTTTCAAATGCAAATAAATTATGTTCACCAAATCACTGTTTTCTATTATTTATCTTAAAATGAAGTAACGTGAGCAGGTTAACAGGCATGATTTTCCTTTCATGAGCTTGTGTACTTTATGTTGGTCGGGTACTTAAATCTCCTCTCACTTATTTTATGAGCTATGTGAATATTCCAATCTTTAAAAATACACAAATCTTGGGACACATATTCCACACATTTTTGTGGTAGCAGATATTTTAAAAGGAAATATAAATGGTGGGAAAGGAAGGAGGAATTAGCTCGTTCTCTAAATTAGAAACAAAAAATGATAGCCATGCAAAGTCAAAGTGCACTATTTACTGATTGTATTTATTGTACATTATCAACAACAAAATAGTTAATTACCAGTTTGTTATGTTCTGTGGCATATATAAATATTTTTTAATTAAATAGAGTAAATCCCAGTATTAAGAGGATTGGAGCCTTGCCAAATATGAATAATACAAAAGTTTTAAAAGAATATCTATGTTGTCAATCTATTTAAAAATATGCTTAGGCACATGCCCTGATCTCTTACCTGTGCCTCTCTAAATATATATGGTCCTAACTCCTTCCTGTGTTCAAGAATCTTCTGGGCTTGCTCTAAAGGAATGTCAATTTGTAAAGCTGGTGGAATACTGGAATTAAGAAAGCAGTTGATAATAGTCATGATCTTGTTTTGGATGATGGACTCCTCACAATGAGAATGGCACAAATCCTGGACAAGGAGGAAAGACAGAACAATATATGATTAATGTATTACCAGAACACTTTATAGAATTGTGCCAATATGTATTTCAGCTGATATATACTTTTTCAAAAATTGATTTTTAGAGAGAGGGAGTGGGAGAGAGAGAGAGAGAAACATTTATTTGTTGTCCTATTTATTTATATATTCATTGGTTGCTTCTTGTATGTGCCCCAACAGGAGATCAAACCTGCAACCTTGGCATATTGGGACAATGTTCTAACCAGCTGAGCTTCCTGGTCAGGCCTCAATATATACATTTTAACTCAAGTCAAGAGGGCACTGGGACATGCCAAGGCTACCTTAAAATAATTATACCTTTTATTTCTCTTGGGTGTGAGGAATTTACATCTTTGGTGAATATACCTTACATAAATACAGGTTTCATTTTTCTTCCTAATGGCTTCTTCTCCTATGCAAAGAAACAGATCTAGTGTCTACTTGGACTTATTTAGCAAATTTATATTGAGTGCCTGCTGTATGCCAGACACAGCTGAGCCCCAAGTTAAAATCCCTGTCCTTTAAAAGGTGAAGCATGACAATATGTTACTCCAATTTGAGATAGTCAGCAAGTGCTATGATAAAGGTATACACAGTGTTCCAGGAGAGCACCAAGAACAGGCACCTAGTTCAACTTACAGGAGGTTACAAAAGCTTTCTCAACTATAACTACTTCTACACCAAGGAGATTTCGGCTCAAAAAGGCCAGCTGCATATGCTACCTGCTGGTGGTGACAGGTGTGTCAGTATGCATCTATATTTTTTCAATTAACTTATTACCTTATCCTCTTTATTGCTAAATAACTTAAAAAAATAATGGTCATACATTAAAAGGACCCAGTTTTATGTCACAGATGTTGGGCTATCTTTTTTTTTAATAAAGAGGTAGCTTAGTTTGAATTATGGATTTGTCAAATACATTGTTCTCTAAATCACTATAAAGCACACATATTTGGAAACATCATTCCAGGGCAGAAATGAGCCAACATTTATTAAGTACTCACTGTATGATGGACATTGTAATAACTTGTGTCTTATGGATACTATTAAAGAAAAGAAAATTCTAGTGCTTGCCATATAAAACTTCATATACAGTTTGGCATAAGTTATATGTGAAAAAAAAGCTTGATATGTTACATTGAGACAACAGTTAGCATTTTTTTACTCAATTTAGTATCTGCTCAAAAAATGCCTATTTATACCACATGTTTGGCATGTTACCAAAAATGTAGTTTTTGCCATTTCTAGTGAGATTATCATAATAATTATTTGGTGAGCCTGGTTTATACTCTGAAATAAAAACAAATTTGTGAAGTTATACAGTTTTAATTTTGAGAGTGCAGGGATAGAATTTAGACAATGAAAATGAATCTTTTTTTCTAATTGTTCTGTCCTACTATATCATTAGCCTAGGTAACGTTTACCTGTCATTCAAGTCTCCGTGTACGCATGCCTTCCCTAGTAAGCTTCCTATGACTCCCTCGATCCAGGAAAGTTGTCCACCTTCGATACTCCCATTGCAACCTGTGCTCCTGCCACACTGCACTAAGCACACTGTTGTAACTGCCTTGTCTGTCACATGTCTGTCCCTCCCAGGACACTGGAAGCCCTGCTTTGGTCACAGCTGAATCCTCAGGATTTAGCCTGGCCCTTGGAAGGTGCTCAATAAGTATTTACTGGATGAATATAAGCTTCCAGTCTTTTCTCTGTGGAGACACACACATCACTTTAAATGAAATCATACTGTTTTCTAGTAGCTGACTTTTAAAAAAAAAAATCAATAAAATAAGTATTTTTCCCATCCCTGATTATTCTCCTACAGCATTTTTAATGGCTGCAGAGTATTCTCTTGTATAGATGTATCATAATTAAGTAACCAGTGCTCTGTTGTTGAACATCTGGGTTCTCTCCAGTTTTTCACATTTCAGAACAACTTGATTAAGGTCACTATAGCCATCTCTGCATATCACTACAATCATTACTGGGAGGGAGCATAACTTAGTGGTGAAAGGCATGAGTTTTAACAACAGAATCCCTTCATTCAAATTCCAGCTCTACAACTTAATTAGCTGTATGATGTCAGGAGTCTTTTAACTTTTTGGTGCCTTAGCTTCTTCATCTGTAAATGGTGAGAATAACAACTTTGACCTCACAGGATTCCTTTTTTTTTTTTTAATGGAGATTACCAATATTCCCTTTAAAAAATAATCCTCACCCAAGGATGTGTTTATTGATTTGAGAGAGAGATATCAATGTGAGAGAGAAACATCAATCAGTTGCATCCCACATGTGGCCTGACCTGGGATCCAACCTGCAGCCTAGGTATGTGCCCTAACCGGGGGAATCAAACCCACAAACTTTCTGGTGTATGGGATGAGCTCCAACTAACTGAGCCACCCGTCCAGGGCTCATAGAATTCTTATGAAGAATAAATTAGTTATTACATGAAAAACATGCAGACAATATCTGGCAGATAACAAACACTTAAGAAGAATAAACCACATAAAAGTGAGCTCAGTAAGACTTTGTGAGGTGGAAGGCTTTCCACCTGGCAAACGTCCTCAAGATCCAATGTGGGAGACATTTTGCATGGCATCCATTTTGTTAAAATCTGCTCTGCCATCACCTTCCCCAAGGCAGGATATCTCTGCCTTCTGCATTTCTTTATCTCTGCATTTCTTTAAGTAAAATCTGCTCTGCCATCTCTTGCCCCAAGGCAGGATATCTCTGCATTTTGAACCATTTACTCAGTCTTTTGTTCCACCCTTGCTTCGGGGTGGTTACTCAATAACTATCGCTTAACAACAAATGATCTTGTTTTTCCTGCCTTATATATTGTGTGAATTTCCCCAGAATAAACGAGACTTGATCAGAGCCCTGTCTTGTCTCCATTTCTCGTGTCTCTTGTCCCTCCTCCTCATCACTCCCCCTCTAGAGTCCTCGTTGCTCGACCTGCGGACCGGGTCAATCTAACCCAAGTATCATCCCTTCTGCAAACACTTCCCTAACCTACCACCTTTCCTGCATCATCCTCTCTGTGGAAATCCATAGTTAGAATATGGATTATAATCAATACTATTTAGTTTCACAGATGTCTCCCTCCCTGAGTGGGGACAATGTGTTATATTCATCTTTTTATTCCTGCAATCTAGCATCATGGCTGACACATTAGATACTTAATAAATGCTTATTGAATGAACAAATTCACTCCTATAGCATGATTTTTAATAGCTACCTAGTATTACACATTCTCCATTCTATGCAGAAAAGATATCTAAATGAAGACCAAGGGCAGCCTTGAAGAAGGAACAGTCACAAAACTAAGGGTTGACTGTATGCGAGTCTATGGTTTTTTAAATACTTATCTTGGAAGGTTCATCTTATCACCTCTTGTCTTAGCAGGGTTGGGCTTCCTCATATTCATATTAGCTTGAAGATACTTCTACCTAATCATAATAATTGCCTATACTGGAAAACAAACTCTACCTCCTTTCTAATTCTCAAAAAATTATTTTAATATTACTTATGACAAAATTTTGAAAAAACTTATCTCAAAATATTTTTTTTCTGAGAAAATTTCTAAGTGATAGATAATATGAATACTGTTGATAACAGAAAAGGGTAGGAAACAGTTCCATGGTATGTTGGAAAAAATTTAAAAATAGATATCATTGAGCAACTACTAACTATACAGAATATACATGTAGCCGAGTATTCATACTGCATAATACATATTTATTGGCCAATTAAAAGCATTATCCTCTTAAATTACAGTTTTATTTTGATTCCTTACTTTTTATATGGGATAAACTAGGCTGCCTAGAAGGAAATGAGCCTGCTACCCGAGGGAGTGCTAAGCGGAAGCTACATGCCTATTCTGAGGTATTTCTAGACAACATCCCTGTGTTCAAGTGTAGGTTATATAACCTAGAAAGTCCCTTCCTTCTTTTCCGTGCAAAGATTCTATATGATTTCATTAAACACTGAACCCTGAAAATAAACTGCTTTTTGAACCTAAGCACTTGTTCTTTCACTTATTTATTTTGTTAAGAACTTGACCATTCTTTCTAATGGAAAAGACGCGCTCATTTCTCTTGGTTTATTTACCTATAATCCACTGTCTTTGATTACTATTGCTGTAAATATGGTTGGGAATTCTTGTAAAGAGGTCTTGGTTAAAGTACTGAATATGGATACGTCCAGGAGAAAATATATACAGTACATTTATAGATAAGTGACATGCAAAAATAAAACTTTTTGAGAAGTTTTTCATTAGATCATAATACACGGGACTCTCCTTAAAAACCTATACCCTCATTTAGGGCTCACTTTCACTCTTCATTGTATAAAAATAATGTATCTAAAATAGAAATACAGTGATACCTCGGTTCTCGAACGCCTCGGTTTTCGACCAAATGGAGATTCGAGAAACTTTTGTCTCGGAATCCGAACAAATATTTGGAACTCGAACTTCCGAGATGAGCCGAGTTGAGCCGAATGGCGTTCATTCGGCCCAGCGCGCCTTGCTTGCGTCATCAGTGTGAGTGCAGAGAGAGAGTCACGCTTTGTGGAGTCACGCTTTCCTATTGGTTTCATTGCTTCGGTTCTCGAACAATTCGGTTCTCGACCGTCCTCCTGGAACGAATTATGTTCGAGAACCGAGGTATCACTGTATAAACACCTTACTATTCTCATATTGGAATGAAGGTGGCAAAATTGGGATATCTTCTGCATAAAGTTACAGTTAAGAATCTGATATGTTAATGCATCTCCTCCTCAAAAAGAGGTGGTTTTCTCCCACTCCCAATAAAATACCTTGTATTTTTGTACTTCTTGCCAAAAGAGCACCCCGTTTTCCAAAAAATCTCCTTTTAGAGCCACAAACTGTTGAAATTGTCTTGCAGTAACAGGATTCAATAATGCTTTACGAAAAGCAATGATTTCACAAGATGAAGATATCCACTTGCTGTCCACAGGCTATCCAAAACAGAGAGTGCAGAGAATTAGGTATGTTCTAAAAAGTAAACAAAGTCATTTTTTAGACTAAAAATCACCAACTTCTTCTCCTTTACTTTGGGCTGTTGAAATTATGGCCTGGCTACAATAGAATTTGGGAACATTTCCCCTCTGTTTCTCTCCTCTTTGTCTCCTTTACATTTTGTTAAGAGGTAGAGAGAAAAGAAATGATTCGATGATTTAGAACATATGACTACATTGCTTAAGAATGTTAACAATTATTAGAGTTTGAGACTATGGTAAAAAAACTACATTTTAGTGCATAGTATGAGTTCTGTGCTTAAACAGAACAAAGTAATCATGCTATAATTATACATTGTAGTATTATTTATTTTATGGTCTCATATATTATGTTACATATTAACATATAATTCTCCTACCTTTTAAAAAGTAAAAGCAGTTGAACATTTAAGATATGTTTTCAAATTTTTAGAAAAAGTATTACCAATTAATTTTATTAATTTAAATAAGAAATTTACTGTGGAACTTCACTATAATTCTATCCTGGAAAGATCATGTTTTTCAGTGAGATATCTTTATATTATTTTAATAAATTTTTATTAAGCATTAATAAGAAGAAATAATTATTAATATTTATTTTTCATAATAAACTTCCTCTGACTGAGGATTCACTTTACGTAACAAAAAAGCCTGAAGGAGCCATGGTGTTTTAGTAATGCGTAAAGGTATTACTTATTTTATATCGTCACAATGTCAAGATGTCTACTTCTTTCATTTTGACCATTTAGATCACATGTTCATTCCCCATGAGCCTCTCAAATGACAAAATAGAATTATTGAATTTACTGAATAGATTTTTTTTTTTTACTGGATACATTTTATTGAAGTTCCCCAAACCTGAGTTTTGCCTACAACCATGCATCATTCCAAAGGTAATGTTTTAGGTGAACTTAGGAATTATAGTAACAATCAAACAAAATACATGATAAATATCCATTGCTGATAATAGATAAAATAAGTTTCTTGAAATAAATCCTATGTGACCATCAAAATGAGTGTTTAAGAGAGTTATGTAAAGAGTGCCATGGGAACACAAATGAAGGAGTAACTAATTCTGCCTGGAGAAGTAAAAGCTTTGCAGAGAAGGGCCTTTGGGATGACCTCTGAGTTGGAAACTAAAACTGAAGGCAGTCTAGATGAATGGTGGAGTCTTCAACCCAGAGAAAGCAAGTCTATCACTGCTTAGTGAGACCCAGGTCGTCTTCTCTAGACAAGAAGTTAAGACCTTCGCCATATGGTCCATATTAAAATTATAGCCCTATAAATAGGAACAACTATGTATTAGACTGGGATGTTTGCTTAAAACCCACTCAGCAAATAATGTTTTAAGACCTTCTTTTAAAGATACTAAACCTTAGTAATTTAACTAAAACCTGTAATTTTACTAAACAAAAAATAACGTAATATATAATGTACAATAATATGAAATATAAGCCCATTGTTCTTAATATTTCAATAAAAATATAGCAAAGGACACACATAAGAACAGCTTTTTCTTTCTTTCAAGAGGAAAATACAGAAAAAGAGGACCCTAATAGATATATACACACTCCTTTAACAGCCAAATAAAATTTTTTCTTTGTTAGTTTGCTGTGGGTCACCTGGGTCTAGTTTAACATTTTATCAAGAACTGTGGAAGAATAAATACCCATAAATTTGTAGGCTCAAAAGGAAGACTGTGTTTATAGTGCTTGTTAAGTAGCAAAATAGGCAATTTCTAGTATCATATTATAGTGGTTTAAATAATCACCAAAATGGTAGTTATCTTAATTCTCTTAAAGCTAAAATGTAATTCTAAATAAAAGGGGATAATGTAAGATAATTTAACTTGCTGATTCTGTTGCATATTTCTCATTCTTTTTGTATAATCCACTCTCAATAGTAAGTATAATACCATATGCTGGAACAAACAGCTTGTCTCAATAAAGCCATCACAAACAAAATAAATAAAAATACATTTTTAGCCCTGGGTGGTTTTGCTCAATGGTTAGAGCATCAGCCCTTGGACCAAAGGGTCACATGTTCAATTCCTGGTCAAGGGCACGTACCTGGATTTTGACTTCACTCCTGGCCCTGGTTAGGGATGTGTAGGAGGCAACTAGTTGATGTGTCTCACTCCCATCAATGTTTCGAACTCTCTCTCTCTCTCTCCCTTCCCTCTCTTCCTTCAACTCTCTCTTAAAAAAAAAAAAAAAAAAATCAATGGAAAAAATATCCTCGGATGAGGATTAACAAAACAAAACAAAAAACGTATTTAAATTCCAATCAGGCCCGGCCAGTGTGGCTCGGTGGTTGAACATCGACCCATGCCCCATGCACCAAGAGGTCACCAGTTTGATTTCCGGTGACAGCACATGCCCAGGTTGTGGGCCCAGTTCCCAGTGGGGGCACACAGGAGGTAGCCAATCAATGTTCTCTCTCATCAATGTTTCTATCTCTCTCTCCCTCCCCCTCCTTTCTCTCTAAAATCAATAAAGAAAAAAAAATTAATGAAGTCCAATCAGACACTTCTGGGTTGAGCAGGTGAAGGAACTCTTTAAAAAGGCTTGATAGACTCACACTTAGTGCTAAATTCCATCAGCCAATTAAGAACAGTATTGTCATTCAGTTGGTGGCTTAGAAAACATAGTCTACAATGATGGTTTATGAACAAGAAGAGAGAGAAAAATACTTCGACAGAGTAAAATTTACAGAAGAAAGAATATAACAAATAGTACTTGCCTTCCAGATCCCAATTTTCCTTTCATGCTTCTGCAGTAAGAGCTCTTCGGCTACATCTCTCAGCTGTATCTAAAAGCAAAACCAATTATTTTATGCCAATAATTCAGAATGCCTAAAGTTTTGAAATCATTTACTAATTTGGTAGCTTTGAAAAATGAGGTAAAGGTCAGCGTGGATAAGAGATAGTAAGTTCAGAAGAAAAAGGATCAGACTTAGAAATAAAAGTTCTGCCCAGGTCCCTGGGTCAGTTACTCAAGTTCTCTGTTCTGAACAATTTCCTCATCTGCAAAATAGAGGTAATAATTGCCTACTGCATTGCCCTAAATGTAGATGATAGTTCCACTCTGGGTCACATGGAAACTGGAGAGATAATTAGGACTCCTTAGATTTTTGTGCTATCTTCTAGCCACAACTACTTTTAGAAAAGTACAAAAGTTACAGGCAGAAAATACATAAGATATTTCTTGAGGTTACTTCCGATTCTCACTCTTTTCCTTTTCTTGGGAACCACTCCTGCCAATACTGTACTGTGTGACTCTAGCTCTCTTCCACAGATAGATCCAGAAGCTGACCCAGAGAGACAGGACTAGAGCCACTGCTGCTGAGTCTTTCTGATAGCCACAGCCTGGAGAAAAGATCTGCGAATTCTTCTTGCTGGGTTCCCACAGCTGTCCTGGCCCGACACTTTGGAAGCTTGGGTATCAGCTCTTCCCCTAAGGGTGTGAGATGCTCCAGCAATGTTTTATAATAAATTCTCTCTCTTATCTTTTGTCTTTGGCTTAAGGTTGCCCAAATCAGTTTATGTTGTTGGCCACTCAAAGAATGCTAAGTCAGAAAATAAAATTATGATGCAAATCAATAGTGAGAAAATGTGGTAAATAATATTAGTAAGCTAAATATCTTTATACTTGACTTTGGATAGAGAATTGGAGTTAGCAGGAAGAAAGGAACGAGGACATTTGAGTTATTCCAAAGCTAATTGCCAGGAACTTTTTGCCCAAAACAAGTCAGCTCTTCTCACTACTAGACATCCTTTGTGCCCAGCTGTACTGTGTCTTCCATAACTTAAGGTGCTCAGAAGACTAAGGATATTTCCAGGTAAGCAAGCCTCAAAGAGTTTGATAAATTTTTTTTCTTTTAAGATTCTTCCTAATCCTTACTAATAATGGCACATGCTTTGCATACAAACTCCAAAATTACATGCTCTCTGCCCCTTGTGTTGTTTATGTAAAGATCAGGCTTTCCTGTTTTTAGGTAATGACATTTTAAATTATCAAAGTAATACATGTTCTTATAAAATAACAACAAAGCAAAGAAAAAAACAAAAACAAACCCAAAACAAGATAAAACAAAAAAAACCACTGCACTTTATAAAGTAAAGTAAAAATCCTTCTCACTCCCTAAAGCCATTCCCAGTGGGCAGGTCCTCTTAGATCTTTTTTCATAAACATAAAGAGAGATGGGTGAATGGGTGGGAGGAGAGACCGAGATAGAAACATAAACAGATACCCAGATGTAATTATATATAATGGTATTATCTTCTGCATATTGTTCTGCATCCTGCTTTTTTCACTCAATGAATAAAATATTTCATATCAGTACATGTGGAAATCTCAATTTATATTTTAATCTCATTTTATATGGAAATATAGTTTTCCATAGTACAAAATTATCATAAGTCTTTTAAGTAATACCCCTTGTATATCCTTGCCCATTTATGTGAGGACTCAATAATAACAACATAAAAAACAACAACTATATTCATAGATAATATTTGAGTGTTTGCTGTGTGCCAGGCACCATGCTAAAAAACTAAACGTATATCATTCATTTAATTTCGTCTTCCCAATAATCTTATGAAGCAATTACTCTTATTGAGCCCATTTTTTTAAAATAAAAAAACTAAGGTTATAAGACTTAAAGTTGTATAATTAATATATGGCAGTGTTGAGATGAAAACTTGGGAAGTCTGATTTCACGCTCTTAACCAAGATGCTGTAGAAGTACGATGGCTGGGTCAACAGGTATGCACATTTGGATGTTTCGAGAGGTACTGTCGATTACTACCCAAAGATTACAGTACTAACTTATATACCTTTATCTTTTGACGTGCTGCAAACTGTTCACTTGCAAGAAACAATGGCAACCACATGTTTTCTAGTCTATTTAGGACACGCTTCTGAATTTCAATGAGAACAGATGAGTCAAGTTGCTCATGGAGAATCTTTCCCCAGCCTCCACTTAAATTCATTATCTAAGAAAATAAAATGAAACAAAAACTACAAACTTCTGTTTTGGACAAAAAACACTAATAGTCATTAATTTATTCACTCACTCCCAAACCACTTGCTGAACACCTGATAGGTGCCACAATTTTCATTTTCTGTAAAATACCTCCTGGCTCTATTGTGTATAATAAAGACAGATAATTCCTCTAACATCCAATGCAGAATTGTGGTTTATGTGATGTTGTTTTAGATGTATGATTTTGCTTATGATATACTTCAAAGAACACAGGAATGGGATTTTTATCCTGTATGAGCACAAGCAATACCATTTTTTTCTCCATGGCCTCAGTATCTTCAACTGTAAAATTAGGGCATTAGTGTATTAGTTTTTTAAGTTCTCTTCCATGTCTAATAATATTCTATGAATCTGTGATTCTAATCAAATTGACATGTTTGAGAAATTTTCTTTTGTTTATGAGGAAATGAGTCTTAGTAAAGAGACAACCTCGACTCAGATATTACAAATATATATAATACCAAAAATATTGGTTGGAGATGGTGGGATGCTTGTGGTGGTAGGAATGTAGGGCTGTTCTAACAACTTTTAAGAAGAACATAAAGGTAGCAGGAAGTAGAGAAAGGCCAGGTTATACAAGCCTCTGACTTGCACAGGTAGCATCTTTTATAAAACACAATTTCTTTGTGGCCCAAATCTTCTTTCTGCATATTTACTGGCTTCAACAAACTACTTATGGCTATTTCAAAACTACTTATGATTTATTCCTATAAATCATTCTGTTCCTGTGTATAAACTACTCAAAATTTTTGGATTGCTCATTGGAAAAATTACCTTCTCGTAGCTCTCCTTCAATTAACCAGATTAATCAAATCCTATTAATAAACTGTTTTCCATAAAAACAAAAGAGCTGTGGCCAATATGGCTCAGTTGGTTGGGCATCATGCCCAGGTTTGGGCTCAATCCCCAGGAGGGGGCATGCAAGAGGCAGCTGATCAATGTTTCTCTTTCTCCCTCTCATTTCTTTCTCTAAAAAAAAAAAAAAATCAGTAACTTTAATATTGACTTTAAAAAGAGAAACTATCTTAGCCATTCTTTAATATTAATCAAGTAATATTAAAAATAATAGTTGTTGCTCTGGCCAGTTTGGCTCAGCGGTTAGTGCGTTGGCCTGCGGTTCAGAGAGACCAGGGTTCAGTTCCCGTGAAGAGCACATACATCGGTTGCAGTTTGTCCCTGGCCCTGGTTGGGTTGTGCAGGTGGCAACCACTTGATGTGTCCCTTTCACGTCCATGTTTCTCTCTCTCTCTTCCTCTTTCTCCCTACTCTATCTGAACAAAAATGAAAAAATGTCCTTGGGTGAGGATAAAAACAAAAATTAATAATAATAATAATAATAATAATAATAATAATAGTTCTTTTCTCATATTAAAAAGAAAAAGAGAAAGACTACTTTGCTAACCAAAGAGCAAATTGGCCATACAACTAAAATTAGACCTAGCATGATCTACATAAAACATAATGCAATGCGAATATAAAATAAATAAAAATAAAGACAAAGATGAAGAAGAAGGCACATTGGGAAAACTCCTCTTGTAGTAAGCACAACCATTTGCTATGATAGCAGTGGGTGACCTTTTCCACTGAATTTTAAATTCTCAGTATGTCATACTATGGAAGGTTCACACCGTAGCATCAGATAATACTGAACCTCATGCAATACGGCACAAGCCAAATAGAAAACAAATTCTTTCCATGTGCTTATTTCATGCTTGTGCTTATGGGATACCCAATCTCTTTTGCTAACACATCCCAGATTTGCATCTCAGGGAACTAATGGCAAGGCATTTTTGTCAAGGTTGCTTAATTCTACAACTTCTCCCCCTTACTCCCAAGATTATTGCTTATTTCTCCCCACAAAGATCAAGCTTTTTAATTGGATCTCTGAAGATCTCTGAATTTTTCGTTAATTTACTGAATTTAGCATTATTCTGAGATTTGTATTTTATAAATGTATGCCATCAAAATATGCATCTGTGTATTTAATTAATTAATTTATTTAAATCCTCACCTGAGGATATTTTTCCATTGATCTTCAGATAGAGTCGGGGGAGGGGAAGAGAGAGAGAAATATCAGTGTGAGAGAGACACAGTGACTGGCTGTCTCCCGCAGGGGCTGGGGACTGAATCACAACTGAAGTACGTGCCCTTTACCAGAATGGAACCTGCGACTCCTTGGTCCGCAGGCTGACTCTCTAACTGCTGAGCCAAACTGGCCAGGGCTACATCTGTTTAAATAATCAGTATAAAGAAATCAAATGCACCCTGGCCGATTTGGCTCAGTGGTTAGAGCATCGGCCTGCAGTCCAGAGAGACCTGGGTTTGGTTCCCGCTAAGGGCACGTTACCTTGGTTGCAGTTTGTCCCTGGCCCTGGTTGGTCGTGCAGGTGGCAGCCACTCGATGTGTCCCTTTCACATCGATGTTCTCTCTCTCTCTCTCTCTCTCTCTCTCTCTTCCTCTCTCTCCCTCCTACTCTATCTGAACAAAAAATGGAAAAATGTCCTTGGATGAGGATAAAAAAAGAAATCAAATGCTATTATTTGATCTCTAGGTGGTAATGTAGTACTAGCAAATTTTGAACTAAAAACTATTATAATTTTTTAAAGCATAAAAATTGAGCCTTATTTTATGTGATCAAATCCCCTGCTGAATCCTAATATGAAATTTTTGCTATAAATAATAGTACCATGGTTAACAAGTTGTGATTCAGACCATGTGACTTTGGTCCAATAAAATGTCCAATCTATGTTCCTGGTCAGTGAAAACAGTTTCTGGGGACAATACAATGGCAAACAAGGTTTTTCAAAGATCAATTATGTTTGGAGTAATAGCAGTTAATAGAAGACAAGAAAAGAGGTCAAGATGAAGCTTAATGGCTGATAATGGCTTGTAGAAAGGACTTTGTCTTGTTCACCACTTATCCTAAGCACCTAGAAGAGTGTCTAACATGTCACAGACACTCGTATTTGCTGAATGAGTCAATGAATGAATGAATAAGAGGTATTTTTATTCTATAAAGTACTTGTTAAAATAATGCATGTTTATAATATGTAGTATTTGAGTTTTAAAGACATTGATTTTATAGATACATGCTAATACCTAAAAAAAAATGAGATATCAAAAGTGTTTAATATATTAAGTCATAAAAGCAAGTGAAAAAGATGACTTTCAGGTTGCTGGCAAAAAGAAGTAAATGACTGGTTTCCAAACTTCAATATAGAAAATATCTTTTCATGTTGATACCTGATCCTGCTGATGTAAAGAAGCTGGACTGTTAGGTCCAAAGAAATACTTTTTATTAAGGTATTTGTTTTTAATATATATAGATTTTGCCTCCTTTTGCTTTTGATCTCTGTAATTTATTCTTCGGAACTGCTCAATGTCTGTCCAGCACATAAGGTCCATGCTAAAGTGAAAACAAAAACAAAATACAGTCGTTCTTATTTATTTCTCTCAATTCTACGAAACACCAACCAAAGCTGTTGTTTTAAAAAGTGGTTGTCCTGATCAGTTAGCACAAATGATTAGATCATGGAACTATCAAGTACAAAATTGTGTCTCATCCTGGCTAAATATATGAACAAATACCAGGAATCCTGGGATCAAAAAAATATCTATCACCATTGTTGGTAGGGTCTCAGAATTCTTCCATTAATGATGCACTAGTACTCTCAGTTTCAAATATGGGATCATACCCACCTATTGCAAGTTCATCTGGAAACAAGATAAATTTAGAATAATCCTACCCACAAAATGGAAACTATATGTGTGAAATGTGGCTCCCAAGTCCAACCAATGCCTGCTAACTTGTGAGAAATTATTGCAATAAATGTGATCAATACTTCAGTTTATATTAGATAAATGTAAGGTCCCGAGATTCTGTGCAAAACTATGTTTTATTTGTTTAGCTAACAAAGGTTATAAAATATTACATTAATTTCAATAGTTAAGTGAAATATAAAAGAGACACTTCTCAGAAACAGTAATTGAAGCACCCATCTGGACAAAAGCAAAAGAAACAGCAGAAAAGGGAAGGAATAAAACGTACTGCTGTTTTAATTTAGCCGATAATAAAAGTATCAACAAATATTATTCAACCACTTAAAAGAACATTTTGGAGGTTGCTATTTTTAAAATGCACTCCCCAACAAAAAGTTATCCAAACAGTTTTTAAAAATAACTAGGTTAGAAAAAATGATATTTTAAAAGGGAAATATATTTTACAATGGTCATGTTCCTTACCTTGAAGAGTGAGCTTCAAGAAACTGACGGAAATGTTCAAACTCTAGTTTGTTGTTAAGCAGACTATTAAAATTAAAATGCCTATACTCTGCAGGAACATTATTCCAGTATTCTGTTTGTTTAGAGGTATCAGGATGTGGTGAAATAGCAGTTCCAATTTCACAAGTAGTGTCCTAGTAAAATAATACTTTTCATAAAAATCTCTTAAACACAACAAATTATTTTTTAAATTTAAATAAACTGAAATAAAACTGAACTATTAGGCCAATGCCATTTAACAGGTCAATGGTAAAACTGGGTAAAGAATCTGGAATCAGGTTCTAACTCATATTAAATTCTCTTCTGTTCCTTTGCATTCCATTCCCTTCTCTCTCTTTTTTTTTTTTTGACTTATCTTTATTCTTGAATGTATTACAGATGTCCCCCCGCTCCTTTTCCCCCATTCAGCCCCCTCCTCCCCAATCCTGCCCCCACTTTTGCCTTCTCTGGCACTGTGTCAGTGTCCATTGGTTATGCATATATGCATAGAAGTTCTTTGGTTTATCTCATCCTGCCCTCCCCCCCCTTCCTGTTGAGGTTCATCAGTCTAACAACAAATTTGTACTTCTTAATTCCTTCATCTTTTTCACTCATCCCCCCAACTCTCGCCCATCTGGCAAGCAACAAAAAGTTCTCTGTATCTACGAGTCTATTTCTGTTCTGCTTGCTCATTTTGTTTGTAGATTCAGTTGTATTAATTACCACTTTATTTTTCATATTTTTGTTCTTCTTCTCCTTCAAGAAGACCCTTTAACCCAGTATTTCATATAATACTGGTTTGGTGCTGATGAACTCCTTTAGCTTTTTCTTGTCTGGGAAACTCTTGATATGGCCATTGATTCTAAATGATAGCTTTGCAGGATAGAGTAATCTTGGTTGTAGGTCATTGCTTTTCATCACCTTGAATATCTCTTGCCACTCCTTTCTGGCCTGCAAAGTTTCTTTTGAGAAACTGGCTGACAGTCTTATAGGAGTTCCTTTGTAGGTAACAAACTGCTTTTTTCTTGCTGCTTTTAAGATTCTCTCTTTGTGTTTAACCTTTGGCATTTTGATGATGATGTGTCTTGGTGTGGACCTCTTTGGGTTCATCTTGTTTGGGACTCTCTGTGCTTCTTGAACTTGTATGTCTGTTTCCTTTACCAAGTTAGGGAAATTTTCTGTCATTATTGTTTCAAATAGGTTTTCGATTTCTTGTTCCCTCTCTTCTCCTTCTGGCATCCCTATGATGTGACTATTGGCATGCTTGAAGTGGTCCCAGAGGCTCCTTACACTATCCTCACTTTTTTGGATTCTTTTTTTTTTTTTTTCTGTTCTGATTGGGTGTTTTTTGCTTCCATAAATTCCCAATCAATGGGTTTTGCTTCTGGCTTTACCTACTTTACTATTGATTTCCTGTAAATTAGTCTTTATTTCAGTTAGTGCATTATTCGTTTCTGACTGGTCCTTTTTCATGTTGTTGATGTTCTCATTAAGTTCCTTGAAAGTCTCACTAAGTCCCTTGAATGTCTCACCAAGTTCCTTGAGCAATTTTATAACCTGTTTTCTGAACTCTGCATCTGATGAATTGCTTATTTCCATTTTGTAAATTGGAATTTGTATATACTTGTTCTCATCTATCTGGGAAGCTGAAGCAGGTACCAGGGATCTAGTTCACTGGTAAACAGGTTCATTCGCACACTCCAGGAAATTGTGGCCAAGCAGACTTAATCTTCCAAAAGGTCAGGAATAACTTCCCCAGGGTACTAAAGAGAGGGGAGGAGCCCATTTCCTTCTTTTTAGGAACATGTAGTAAACATTTATTATATACTTGCTTATAAAATATTAATCTTATTATTTTTGTTAGTACAAAAGTAATGTCTTTTGTAATAAAAAGAAAAAAAGCATATATAATACTACTACTCAGAGATAACCACCATTAGCATATATATGTGTGTGTGTGTGTGTGTGTGTGTGTGTGTGTATATGTATATATATATATATATATATATATATATATATATCCTCTCAGTCTTTTTGTCTATATAAATGTAGTTTATTAAAAATAAAGACAGGACTCTACAACTATGTATGGTTTTATAACTTGGTTCTTTTTCATAACAATATATCATGAACATAAAACATTCTTTTTTTTATTGGTCTTTATTGTTGAAAGTATTACATCTGTCCCTCCTTTTTCCCCCATTGACACCCTTCTCCTGAACATTCTTTTAACTATAACTTAATTTCTAAAGTTATAGAGTAATGTAAGATGCTTTTCTAATAAAGATTACATTCTTTAAATAATCTCCTTCATATAAACATTAATTTGGGGGTATTTTTAAGACCTCTAATGTTTTGCAGACAATTTACAAGCTCAATAAAACAAAGAGCTCGAGAGGCTTACTCTCTGAAAAACCCTTCCTTCTGTAATACCTTATATGATTAATTAATCAACCTATGTTTTTGAAAAGCATCAGACCATATATGAACTACCAATATTTTCAAAATAAGTTTTTCATAGGAAGAAGGATCATGGGGAGTATTATAAATTTTAGTTCATAGAATTTTAAATACAATTTTATAATATGCTATCTTTATGGATTTTTATGTTTTCTTTCCAAGATATTAATTAGTAGTGTTTTCAAATAGAGAACTTCTATGTTAATGAGGCAACTATCATGAAGGTTACATTTAAAATATAACTTTAGGTCTGGCTGGTGTGGCTCAGTAGTTGAGTGTCGACCCATGCACCAAGAGGTCGCTGGTTCAAAGTTGCTGGTTCGATTCCTGGCCAGGGCACATGCCCAGGTTGTGGGCCCAATCCCCAGTGGAGGGCATGCAGGAGGCAACAAATCAATGTTCTCTCTCATCGATATTTCTCTCTCTTCCTTCCTCTCCCTTCCTCTCTCTCTAAAATCAATAAAGAATAAAATATATATAACTTTATTATTTTTATAAAACTTTATTATAAAAGAATAAAATTTCAAATCAACATGGACATGCTGGGAAAGGCAGGAGGGAGTTGGGAGCAGGAAAGAGGGTGTCAATGGGGAAAAAAGAGGGACATCTGTAATAACTGTCAACAATAAAAAAATAATAATAATTGGAGGAATCTTATTGAGAAGAACTTGGAACCTTTCTACAACTTCTGTATTTTAACTTTTTATGAATCTATTCAAAATAAAAAGTTTAAAATGAAAAAATACAATAAAAGTACAAATTTCAGATAGGTACAAAAACAAAAGTAAATATCACCTGAAACCTTACCACTCAGAGCTAAGTATCTTTAATATTTTGGTGAACATCTTTTCAGACACCTCTTTGAAAAGATATATATACATAAATACATATATATTTATAAATACATATACATATATATTTACATAAATAAGATGATACAATATTAGTGCTTTTGTTCCTTACATTTTATATAATATGTCCTGAGTGTTTTTCATGTCAATAAATATGAATCCAAACTGTCATTTTTATTTAGATACACATTTAATATTATTGCTTTATGCATCTATTATGGTTTATTTAAGCCAATCCAAAAATTTAGAAGTTATAAATCAAAATAACTTCCATATCCTAGTCAATCCTATGATCTTTTTAACTGACTTCCTCAAATTCTTTCCATATTTTTAAAAATTGTTTTGCCTATTGATGTCATACAACAGCTCCTTTTCTTCTTGGAAAACTCAACTCTTTTGTGACTTGACAACAAACAGAGGTGTTGCCATACAAAAAGTAACCAATAACATTCAAAAGAATATAATGTGGCTTGAAGGCTCTTAGCTAAGCCAAGCGAGTAGCTTGGCTACTTGTGTTACCTCATCTGCTTTGTTTTTCTGGCTTTGTAGTTAAATGTGTCAATAAAATGTGACACCTATAAAATGTAGCATCCTAGGCAAAGAAGAAGCAGAAAAATGAAACTGCCTACCCCCTATATTACCAATATATGCTCTCCTACTCCCGCCCCCACCCCAGCCAATATATACAGTGGTAATCCTCTGTAGGATAAAAATTTGTTATTCTAAGTAAAGAGTTGTCTTACCTCAGCTTTCTTGCAAATTGTCTGTTTATGCAAAGTCTGTATGTTTCTGAAGTATGTGGAGTCTAGCTGTCGAGTTTCTTCCACTAACTTCACCTAATAAAATAGTAATAAAACTTGTAACATCAATAAAATGTGCATTATGAAAAAGTGGGGAAAGAATACACGATTCGTCAGTAACAGTAGGCTAAAAACCAATATACCTGCCAATAAAGCAAATTGGTTTGGAGGCAAAGCAGGAAGACCAACATAGTAAAAATTATCAGCTACAGCAAAGTCAGACTTTGAATACAATAAAAAATACATACATTTCTAGGTAATGATATAGTGTAACAATTGTCAACCAGTGTGCTACAAGAATTTTTAAAACATGCAATACCCAACTATTTAATCCAGAGTCCTGACCTCTTTTTCCTTAGACTGTCAAAATTAAAAAATGACAACAGTCAACACCACGATACATTGGGTGTGAATACCCTGTTTTTAACTTTAAATATATAGGTCATAATAGAATTGTATCTTATTGGTCATGTCACAAAATAAGGTTGCATCTGATTGGTTAATTCTTGGTACCAGAAATTCTTATATACAAGTATAGGCATCTGATTTTCTATAATCCTTACCTGAGAATATGTTTTTATTGATTTTAGAGAAAGAGGAAGGGAGAGATAGAGGGCAAAACATCAATGTGAGAGAAACATGGATTGGCTTCCCCCTGTATGCACCCCCACCAGGGGCTGAAACCCCAACCTGAGTATGTGCCCTGACCAAGAATCAAACCCACAACCTTTTGGTGGGAGGCACAATGCTCCAACCAACTGAGTCACTGCCCAGGGCTAGGCACCTGATTTTTTTAAAAAATCACTTTGGAGCAAAAAGGTTAGGTAATTACTATTACTATTATTACTTCTTTTTGTAAATCAATAAAAATTATACCTATTTTTGGTCAGATCTGCAAAAAATATATATTTTGGTGTGGCACAGAATTTAAATAACTAGTTTATGTGTATCATGAAATGAGAAAGAATGAAAATCACTGATTTAGTGCCACCAAAAATCATCCTCCTTTATGGACACCCCTTGTGAACTAACAAACAACGAACATATATTGGGTCACATTTTCAGTTTCTATTCATTATAATAGAATGACAGTCATGAAGGCAGGCACTACTAGCTTTAGGCAGCACATAATCCACAGAACATGAAATGACCGGACCCCGTAGTCATTAGTCTGCGAGAAAAGGTTGTATTGGTGTAGCAAGAGAGGAGAGTGTTAATTATCAAATTAAACTCCATAGTAGGTCTCAGGCTTCAGAGTGTGCACTGCACTATTTTATATATAGTCAGGAGAACAAGATCATTCTCCATTCCGCTGTTGTAGGAGGGAAAATCAGTTTGGCTGACTGAGAACGTTCTGTATCTAGCAGCTCGTTTGGGTCGTCTCCTTGGTTACCCTTCTGGGAAAGAATCTATGTAACCCAGTCAACTGGACTTTTAGAGAATTCTCTGGGCTGAATTTAAGGATGTTTCTAAAATTAAGAGAGATTTATTTTTTTCTCTTATTAAAAAGAATGTATAATTTGTTCATGCATTTTTATAAGAATCGTTACTAGTGCCAAAACCTTTTGGTTTAAAAATTTAGTTATAATTCTGAATTTTATCATCTCAGGACCATCTCTCAGGTTTATTTTCCTTTACACCCCATATTTTGTTTAAAATAACAACTAGAGAGAATTTTAAAATTTCACTTGAAAACCTAATTTTCCTAGGGTAATCAATGTATTTTTGTAGAAGAAAGGTTGCAATGCTAATTTTTCAGGACAAAGAGATATCAGAAATAAAAATATAATTATTTTGCCCTGACTAGTTTGGTTCAGCGGTTAGAGCATTGGCCCTCAGACTCAAGGGTTGCAGGTTTGATTCCCAGTCAAGGGTCCATATCTGGGTTGCAGATTCAATCCCGGGCCCTGGTCACAGTTGTGAAGGAGGTAACCAATCGATGTGTCTCTCTCACACCGATGTTTTCTCTTTTCTCTTCCCCTCCCTCCCTTCCTTCCACTTTATCTAAAAATCATGGAAAAATATCCTTGGGTGGGGATTAACAACAGCAAGAACAACAAAATCTTGAAATAAAATAGTAATATTTGAAGAAAAAAAATATATGTAATTATTTTGGTTACAGAATTTAGTAAGCCATAAAGGTTGTTTTAATCACAGTCCAATAAGGTAACTCTACCTTAGGTGTTGCAGTATTAATTTTATCTTACTTAATTACCTACCCTATCCTTTTTGGTAGAAGATGTGACTATGAAATTGTTGAGGAGATATGAACAAAGAATAGCAATACAAAGATACCAGAGTCCCACCTGAAATGACCTCATGTACAGGGTACATGCATTAACTTAATATAAAAAATATCCATGAATGGTTTTAATTTGTGATTCAAAATAAATATTTAAAGAAATTTCCTCCACCTGTCAATAAGAAGAGTGAAAATATTCAAGCACTGAGGCTTAACATGACCTCTTTGGGAATGAAGAAAGATGTGTTGAAACTTTTATCCAATCAAGCAGTCTGACCTGATGAACATCTGGGGGTGCTTTAAAATAGCAGCACTGAAGTCAGAGAATGTGCTTTCCACAATCCATATGAAACGTTTATATTTTCCATGGGTATAATATTTACTGTAACTCATCCAGCATAAAATTAAATGAGCTTTGTCCATTAATCAAAATTAAGACCACTGCTGAAAAATGGCAAGAAAGGACAAAACCAGTATATCATCATGGCGTATTTTGTTGGTTCACAGGAAACCAAAACTTAGATTTATCTCTGTCGACATATTTGTACAGAGAACTAAAAATGACACTAATTTCAGTATTTTGTTAGGAGACAATAGGGACACTCCGAATCCTGGCCCTGTGGGACCTTTTCCAGGTCTCTTCTTGTGAGTTAACAATGCGGCTTATCATCAGTTTTGCAGTAAGCCCGAGCGGTTCACACACGGTTTATCAGGGCCACAGTACCTGTCTGTAAGCATCTTGGTCTGATTTCACCATCTTTGCCCAGGGCTCAAGTAGGAGGAGAAGAATATATTCTTCGGCTGTGTCAAAAAGGTCTTCAAATGGTGGCTGCATTTTCATATAGATTTCCTTTTTATTTTCCTGTTGCAGTCCAATGTCAAGAGTGGCCGAAGGAGCAACATAGGTGGCAAAAAGATACTAAGGGAGAAGGGGAAGCAAGGAGAGGGTGTTGAGAGAAACCATAACGGTTAGCAGTTTCCTCAGCACAGGTACTTTTTAAAAGGTAAGAAGAGGCTAGCTAACAAGCTTAGTGATTTTTTTAAAAAGATGTGTAAAACTAAAGATAAGGCAGTGTGTTTATTCATAAGACGTTGCTTTTCATTTTCTTTCCTATTTCTTCATCTGAAATTAGTTAGCCAGTGGGTCTTTCACAGGAGTGGGTGATTTAGATATTGCAATTTTTCTCAGATTACCACAATGGGTTACTATGATTGGTTTCAAGCTATGTTTCCTTTTTTTCATGTCTTTGGCAGTTCTAACTGTAAGTGCTACTTCCCCAAGTGGTTTGAAATGCCCCTTTGAAAGCAAGAGGCAAGAATACACTAGGGTTGAAAGCTGGCTATTAACCTTCTAGTTTAGAGACTCAAAAGACTGCCTCCCCTACCCAACTCAGTTGCAGAATTCTTAAGACTTTCTGCTTTAAAAATGTCTCCACCTGGTGACCAGTGCTGTGAAAGAGATACAAGAAGGACATAAGAGAGAATGGAAAGATTTACACAGAACAGCCAGCTTCCTAGGCAAAGCTGTATGAAAGTCTATTTCATTCTTCTAATTTGTCTTGTCTCTCAATAATAGCTAGTTAAATCTGAAAAGCATGTTAATAACATTTCATTTTTGAAATGTTACACACTAGATATGTCACATCCTATATATCAAATTTAAATGTAGTTTTACTAAAAACTCTAATTAATTGTATTTATTTCAATTTTATTTTTAAAATTAAGTCTGAGTATAATTTCCAGACTCAACCCAGGCATCACCAGGCATCAGATGATAGATGATAGATAGATAGATAGATAGATAGATAGATAGATAGATAGATAGAGATATATACAAATATGTACCAAATACCAAATAATACTCATGTAAAATAACATTTCAAAGGTTTTAAAGGTTCCACGTTAATAACACAAGCATTAACAAGTATCCACTACATCTTAGACATTTGGATAGGTGTCATGTAGGCAAAGATTAATAAAGACCTAATGCCTGCCCTGAAGGAGCCCATTGGTGGTGACATGGAGATGAAAACCAGTGGTTACGATGCAGTATGAAAAGTACCACAGTGGAGGTATGTGTTGCAAAGGTCTTCAATGACTATCTGTACAATCCTTTCAAGCTCACCTCCCATTAAACATATTTTAAGTATTTCATGTGTTTATCAATATTTCTTAACTTTCCTAAACCTTACTGTTTTGCCATTCCATACCATTGCACATCTTGGATACTCACCCCATGTACCCTGTCTGCTTGATAAACTCTAATTTATTCTTTAAAATCAACAGGGATTTCTCTTCCTCTAAGAATGCTTCATTCACACCCTCCTCCCAAGATTGTACTTTTCAACTGCTATACCTATCATACTATACTGAAATTATGTATTTATGTGTCTTCTATTCTGGAACAAGGTCTTTGAGGGCAAATACTTCAGCTTATTCATCTGTGATTCTCCAACTCCTAAAACTGTTCTTGGCAGAGAATAGATGCCATAAATGTTTATTGAATTGTACTGAATCCACAGAAAAGACTCCTTTATGCCTTGGAATGGGGAAGGGAAAGATTCAGAAACTCTTACAAGAGAAGATAAGCTTCTCTTATCCTTAATCCTTGAGCTGAATATTTAAAGATGAGTTGGAGTCAATCAGACAAGGAAGTTGATGAAAAAGATGGTTCAAGAAGAAGAAAAACATGGGCCAAGGCATGGAGACCTATGGGGGCTTTATAACCTGTGGAAAGATTAAAGGCTTCAAGTAGATAACAATGGCTAAAGGAAAGAGTTAGAGTAAGAGAGGATAGGTACCAGATCATGGATATGATCTTTTATTCTTTGGTAAGGAATTTTAATTTTTACATAAGAATATATAATGAGGAATCTGTGAGGAGTAACATCATTGGATATGAATTTTAGAAATAAATCCCTATGGCAGAGGGAGAAGCAGTTTGAACAGATCAAGATTTGAGGCCTTTGGAAGTCATTTCAATATTCAAATAAGAAATTATATGCCACCATCTCTTACCTGCTTTTCTGCAATGTCCTCTTAACTGGTCTCGCCAGGTTCCTCTTTGCTTTCTTACAGACTTACTACAGTAAACAGAGAAACCACTATGCATGTTATACCTCTTCTCAACCCTCCAGTGACTTTCCATCACACACTTAATAATAGCCAAAGTCCTTATAATTACCTATAAGTGCAGGTTTGGGAAGTTTCTCAATGCTGAGGGGATAAGGATTATTATAGTTCAGGACCTGCCAGTGGGGAAGCCCCTATAAACACCATAGGCTCTCAAAACACCCTAAGAGCAGCAGCAGGTCAGGTATAGACTCTACCCTTAAATCTTAAGTGCCCAGAAAAAAATAACTGCTAACCTGAGAAACACAGCAAAATACCCTTTCAGAATAAAAACAAAATCAAGACGTCAAATCAACAAATAAAAACACAAACTTCATCAACAGCAGACCTGGACTTAATTAATTAATTAAAGAGAAGCCCTAAACAAAAGCAAAATGGGATAGAGAACAAAGGAAAGCATAAATATATAGATAAATATCAATAAATATTGATCGTAAAATATAATAATAATGAATTAAGTCAGAGGAAATAGTAAAATAGCCTAAGAAAGAGAAGTCAGAATTGAAGGTGCAAGTTAAACTGCAATTGAAATGATCTACCACATGGCCCATTATAGGTAGGAAAGCACATGAAGCTAGTATCAGGGCAGCAACACAATAACATGCAGGGGAGAGTATCAAAGAATTCGAGGTGAAGATAAAGGAAGGGGACAGTTAGAGTAGTTTTAAATAAGTAGAATCGACTTTTTTATCTAGTCCTCCCTTACAGGGAGTTCTACAAAGTTCAGTATAGTATAGGCACTCAATAAATATTTACTAAATGGATAAATGGGAGATTAGTAGCCTAAAGTGAAATTATGATCTGAAAGAGGACTATCAGAGTTCAAAATTCAAAGCTGAAGTACTTCGAGTTTATGATGAATCCCAACATGTGGCTATCCCATAGTTAACTTAGGAGAACTAGAGATGGGAAACATTGGAATTGGGTGAGTTAAGAAACACTGTAATATGATAGCAGTCAAGAGCATAAAGTACAAAATACATTGAAATGGTGACTAGAATAACAGTGATGGGTCAGCTGCTGGTGGGCACCCACATCTATCCCTACCCTTTCATTCCCAGTCTTGCCTTCACTCACGTCCTGTCGTTAAAATCCACTGCTACCACAGTCCTGGGAAAGGCTCCAGATGCTATTTACAGCCTATCACTTTACCACGGTGAACATTTTCATGATGCCGTTAAAGCCAGATCTCAGTATGTCACTGTATCCAATTGGTGTGGGCTCTCACCTTCTGAAATTTGCTGTATGCTTTTCTTCAGAATGACATTCCCTTCACTTTACCACTACTGTCTTAGTAGCACAACTTCCTCTCTGACCCTTACTCTTCATCCTTCTACATATCTCACTATGTTGTTTGGGTTTTTTTTTTTTTTTTTTTTTACCTTATGCATAATCTGTGGTTTCCACCTATCCTCTGAATAAACCAGGTGCCACCTTGTCTCTCTTCCTTTCGTACACGAATAGGACTCAGGACTGTCCATCATTTCAAATAACATACAAATATCCCTCATTTCTCCCAGGTTGATATTCTGCCCTGTCAAGACCCAATTTGGGGCCAGTCCAATCATTCATTCATTTTTTTTCCAACTCTATCTTCAACCTCCCTATAAAAACTATGATAATTGGCTCCATTATAAATAGACTTTAAAAAAACCACTTCAGCTATGATTGCAAAGCTTGCTTGTTTCTAATCAACTCCATTTTGCCATTTCTAAATTTTGCCATGCTCCTTAAAGCTCCCAAATGTATCCTTACTTCATTGGGAAAAGCCACTGGAAAAAATGCCCTCAACTTTCTTCTCTAGGAGCTTTCTTCTAAATTTTTTTTCTTTCTCTGATGTTTCAAAGGAAGACTGCTTTCTAAGGCTCACTCATGTGTGACTCTATTCCTCCATAACTGCAACATCAATTATGTCCTTGGTGCCTGTTTCCTTAACCTACCTTTCCACTGATTCCATCTCCTTCCTTATGCTATAAAGGCATTCAAGTCAAGTGTCTCTCCCATCCTAAAACATTTGTCCTGACTGTTGGGTCTATAAACTCTCACCCTACTTCTCGTTTTCCCTTCTTTCCAAATCTTTCTACCCACTTTTCACTCACTGCTCGGTCTACTGCAATCTGGTTTTCATGCCAATGAAACTGATCTCTGAGGTCACTAAATACCACATAATCACCAATTCAATAGCTTCTCTCCTTAATCTTCATCCTGTTTGATTCTTTATGCAGCTTTAACACTATTGATTATCCTCTCCTTCTTGACTTTCTCTCCTCGTGATTCTCTGCCTATTTCCATTCTTAGGCTACTTTGCTGATTCTTTTTCCTTTATCCTCCCCACCGCCCTTAAAAAAAAAAGCCTTCAAGTTCTCTGTTCAACTGTATTTTTTCTCAGTTCAGTCTTCCAGTTCCTCCCACACGACAGGCAGTCTCTCACAGGACTTTCATACTGTGCACTCTATACCCTCTACTCTTAACCTCTTTTCCCCTTTTGTTAAGCTTCTATCCATCTGAAAGGACTCTGTCTTCCTTGACTCCTTAAGTCTGAACTTGTACATCTCTCCCACTGGACCACAGCTCTATGAAGACAGATGAAATTTACTTTTTATTAAAATTACTGTCATTGATTTTATTATGGATCCCCGGGCACCTACCATAATGCTAAATTTAGAATAAATGAAAAGATGAATAAATGAATGCAAGACTTCATCCATTCTCAGAGACTGAACAGTGAACTATGTGTGGAAGAAATACATATATCTTTAGACCTGATTTCTTTCCTAAACTTAAAAC